AAGGACACTTATAAAACATCTAACAAGCTGCTAAGGAGATTGCCTAAAGCAGTGATTTTCAAAATGTGCTGCTGGAGCCCAGTCTTTGTGCTCTGTACATATATCAAACTCCAGTTTCTTTTTATGGAAAGGACTTCAAATAATATTTCTGAGGGGTGTTTATGACAGTTTGCTGGTCACCCTCTTCAAATACATGCCACCTGCTGAGGGCATGATATGGGGATGACTGAAAGAGGCCAGGACACTCAAAGTGAGTGTCTTGTGGGGCAGAGGGGCACCCAGAGCTCCTCTTCTGCTCTGTGACTCTGTCTGTGCACATGCACCATTCAAACCCTCCAAATCCAGGCACTGAGCCTGGTATCAGTCCCTATGGATGCTCTTGGAGGGGTGTGGGTGGTCTCCTATGGGTGCCCCACTTCATGTCCTGCAGACAGAACCTGTCCAGAGGTCCAGCCTGCTTTGGAAGTTGTGGCCCAGATACAGGGGGTGCTGTGGAAGGCCCCTTCTGAGGGACAGGACCTATTTCATCACAGAATCATCACAGAATGGGCTGGAGGGACCTCAAAGCCCATCCAGTGCCAGCCCTGCCATGGGCAGGGACACCTTCCACTGTCCCAGGCTGCTCCAAGCCCTGTCCAGTCTGGCCTTGGGCACTGCCAGGGATCCAGGGGCAGCCCCAGCTGCTCTGGGCACCCTGTACCAGGGCCTGCCCACCCTCATAGGGGAGAATTTCTTTCCAGTATCCCATCCAAACCCACTCCCTCTCAGCCTGAAGCCATTCCCCTTTGTCCTGTCACTCCAGGCCCTTGTCAAGAGTTTCTCTCTATCTTTCCTGTTGGCTCCTTCAGGCACTGCAAGGCTGGAATTAGATCCCCCCAGAGCCTTCCCTTTTCCTTGCTGAACAACCCTAGCTCTCTCAGCCTTTCCATCAGAGCTGCTCCATCACTCTGACCACCTCAGTGCCTGCTCTGGAGCCACTCCAGAAGCTTCCATGCCCTTGGATGTGTTTCCTCCAGGTTTCTGGACAGGCTGGAGAGCAGAGCCCAGCCTGACCTCCTGGCAGCCCTGCTCTCACCACGAGTGCAGCTCCTGCACAAGAACTCTGCCACATCAGAGACTGGCTGTGCCTTTTCCTCCCAGAGGGAGCAAATCCAAGGATTTGGCAACTTCTGCTGGCCAGATCTGTGTAACTGTGTTCACAGGGGTCTGAGGAAGAGGGAAGAGATGAAGATCTGACTCCATGTTTCAGAAGGCTGATTTATTATTTTATGATATATATTACATTAAAACTACACTAAAAGAATAGAAGAAAGGATTTCATCAGAAGGCTGGCTAAGAATAGAATAGGAAGGCTCGTGGCTCAGACAGAGAGTCCGAGCCAGCTGACTGTGATTGGCCATTAATTACAAACAACCACATGAGACCAATCACAGATGCACCTGTTGCATTCCACAGCAGCAGATAACCATTGTTTACATTTTGTTCCTGAGGCCTCTCACCTTCTCAGGAGAAAAAATCCTAAGGAAAGGATTTTTCATAAAAGATGTCTGTGACAGATCTGCTCTGGGGAACTCTTATTTCCCTGGCTGAGGGGACTGTGAGTTGAGCAGGACGTGCTCAGTAACCCCAGCCCTGACCTGGCACTTTGCACCAGCTGATCCCAAAGGCTGTTGTGGAAAAAGGTCAAAATCATGGACACCATTTAAAAGCTGAGACACAAACCCAACAGTCTCAGACAAAGTCACTCCACAGGCAGCTGGCAGGGCTGGGGACTCAGTCCCAGATTCCTCAAGTCCAGCCCAGTGCTCCAGCCCCATTCCCACCACCATCACTGGGATGGCCACTGCTCATTGCTGTCAGCTGGCTGAGGGGGGGCTGGAAGGAGCTGTTGTCATGGATACAGCATCCACAGGCTGTGCTGCTGCTCTTCCACAGGAGCTCTGGGGGCTGCAGACACCAGTGCAGCCATCAGCACAGGGCGAGTGAGGGATTCACAGCACAGACTGAGCTGGCACCTCTGGGGCTGACTCAGCTGTGGGTGTGACAGTGCTCACAGGGGTCCCAGGATGAGGGAAGAGTCAGGGATCTGACTCCACGTTTCAGAAGGCTGATTTATTATTTTATTATATATATTATATTAAAACTATACTCAAAGAATAGAAGAAAGGATTTCATCAGAAGGCTAGCTAAGAATAGAAAAAGAAAGAACGATAACAAAGGTTTGTGGCTTGGACAGAGAGCCTGAGCCACCTGATTGTGATTGGCCATTAATTAGAAACAACCACATGAGACCAATCACAGATCCATCTGTTGCATTCCAGAGCAGCAGATAATCATTGTTTACATTTTGTTCCGGAGGCCTCTCAGCTTCTCAGGAGGAAAAATCCTAAGGAAAGGATTTTTCATAAAAGATGCCTGTGACAGCAGGACTCACCAATGTCCCCAGCATCAGCAGCTGCCAGGACCTCTGGAGTCACCTCCCATCAGTTCTGTGCAGGATTCACACACAGCTTGTGCCCTTCCCTGTTGTTTTGGTTTTTTAAGTTTTTCTAAGCCTTTTGATGTTTACATTTTTGTAACAAACTTTTTTTACACACTTTTTGTAAATAACACTGTTTTGCATTTTTTTATGGAGGAGGAGAAATTTGATGGACTGTTGGTTTGTTTCAGTGTCATTGGAGAGGTGGCACTTTCACCCTCCAATCAACTGTCACTTTTGGAAATTTATAAATTTTAGAGTCAGAAAATAAACTTCCCTTTTTTACCTTGAGAACAGGAGCATGTTCGTGTCTTGTTGTTTTGAGTCTTTTAGTAACAGGAGGGTCTTTTCCCTCTGTTGCAGCACAGAGCCCAGGGGACACACAGAGACATTTCTATGATTGCTCTCCTGACCTCTGTTGTGGGGATATTGAGCTCTGATTCCAGGCAGTGTGTCAGAGCCCCCAGATTTCCTGGGTGAGCCTCCAGCAGCAGCTCCAGGGCCATTCATGCAGGTTTATTTAAAGCTTCACAATCAGCCAGGCTCATCACACAGAGAACTGCACAAAACTGTGATCTCTGTGCAGCCAGGGCCATCCCAAAGTGTTTTTTTTTCCTTTTTCTAGCACTGAGTTTACCATTAGGTGTGTCTGAGAAAGCACAGATAGTGCCATATATTTAGTGTTAAAATGATGATCTTTGGTACTTAGTGTCTGCCATCAGAAAAAACATTTAAATAAATAAATAAATCAATTGCAATTACTTGCAATGTTCAGAATCCAGGGAGATTCAGAATCCAAAAGGAGAGCTGTAGACAACTGGTCAGAGAGCACTAAACATGGTTGGCAAAGGCTTGTGGCACCTCAGACAAACTTAGGGATTAAGGGGAACCTACCCCTTAAATAAATAAATGTTTAAGGGGAACTTACCCCTTAAATAACCTGAAATCTTATTGTTCATCCCTCATCTAGGGACATGATTAATCACTAAACATCATTCATGCAGGAATAGGAAATTGCTTTCACACATTCCTGTTGGAACCCTAGATGCTGAGAATTTTAAACTTTCTGTGCTAAAAAGCACAAACCCACAAGAAAATACTGTATTTAACCTAAAGCTGTAAAGAAATATTCCAAAATTAATTAATAACACTGAGATTTCCAGTGTAAAGTTTAAATAAAAGTGTGCAACATTACAAAGCACAAAACTTAGTAGACACATTCCCAAAGTCATTGCTGATGAAATGGAGGCCTCCAAGTGAAGCTGCTTCACACGGGGCAAGATGTACCTGCCTAACTCCAGAGTAATTAACAGCAATTAACGAGCCCCATCAGCCCTGTCCTTCTCTGATTGGCCAGGGCAGGGCCTGGCTCCCTCCTGCTGCTTCCCAGAGCTGTCAGTCCCTGAGGTCCCGCCTTGCCCCATCCCAGGCACCATAAAAAGGCAGGAGAGCTGATAGGGTGTGGTTGGTGTTTGCTCCTTTCTTGCTGCTGCTTTGCTCATCTCCAGCAGGTAACACAGGGGCTGTTCTGGACCTTCCAGGGGGAATGTTTAGGTCTGGGGTGTGGAAGCAGTAGGGCAGACCCTTGAGCTCTGTTTTCCCTCAGTTGTGGTCTTGTTGTTTCTTTTAGTCAAGAGTTTCTTGAAGCCTTGGTGGGATATGATGCTTTTGCTGGGGCTGCTTAAAAACAGAGGTTGGGTAAAATTAAGAGGGTAAAAAAGCAGTTATATTTATTGAGGGGTCTTCAGGTACATCCAGGGCACACAAAGCCCCCCAAGTCCACCCAAAAATGGATCACAGGTCTTGGGTTTTCACACTTTTATAAATTTGGTCCATTTGTGTATTGGGGGTTCATCTTGTAATTACAGCTTCGGGAAATGAAGTCATTTACCCTGAGTTTGCTGCCCTCAACTCACTTTTGTTTCCCTCTCTGGGCCCTGAGGCAGTGAGGTGTCCTTGATTCCCAGGCCTGCAGAGGAATTGTTGTGTCTGCCCAAGCTGGGAAAGCAGCAGCTCACACTGAGTGTGGGGTTTGGAGTTGTACACTAAAGAACTGCAGGGTTACAAATATATGGAAAATAGAAAATCTAAAATCCTAAGGCATCAGAGGAAGGAAGCATGTTGTACCTTTCTCTAATATAAATATATTAATAATATTTGGTCTTTAGGGTGAAGAAAGGGAGGTGGTGGAGTCCCCATCCCTGGGTGTGTTTAACAAAGCCTGGATGTGGCACTGGGTGCCAGGGTTTAGTTGAGGGGTTGGGGCTGGGTTGGACTGGATGATCTTGAAGGTCTCTCCCAACCCAGTGATTGTGTGGATTCTGTGAAAGAATGCTCTCCTTGTTCCTTTAATTATCACAAACCACCTGGAACTTAAACTTGAAACTGGATAGATTTGCAAGTGGCACAGACCCCCTCTTATGAGGCTGTTTTGGTGTTTCCCCTGAATTGCTGAAAGGAATTTCTCTCTTTTATCATCCTAGGGGGACATGTCCCCTTGGAGGGGGATGTTTCCCTAAAGCCTTGGTGTTCCTTGCATTGCAGCTGCCATGGCCTCTGCTGTGCCCCACGAGGAAGAGGCTGCCCAGAGCTCCCTGGAGGAGGAGGAGCCGGAGGTTGGTGCTCCGTGTGGGATGTGGAGTGGCAGCTCTGGGGTGCAGGGTGAGGAGGTGGCCCTGCTGTGGCTGAGGGCAGCTGAGCCCCCAAAAATGGGAATTTCCTCTGCTCAGTCTGTGCCCTGCAGCTTCTGGGAGATAACACAAAGATGTGGACCTGAAGTCCCTGTAACCTCTTAGGGTCAGCAAAATTAGCTGGTTTTTGACTAGGAAAGACATTCCTCTAACTCAAGATCCTGGCTCCTGGCAAGCAGGGCTCCCTTGGAGAGACTGCAATGTTTCAGCCTCCCTGAGACCTGCTGCTCTTGCTCTGCTCCTGTGACCAAATCTGCCAGCTTTAAACCAACTCAGTCCTGCCTGGTGGAGCTTTTCTTGGGATATTGGCTTGGCAGGTAACCATTCCAGGTGAACTGGAGAGAGGTACATGGCAGAAGGACTGAGGTTGCCCCCAAACTTGGTTGCTTTTTGTGCTAGAGGAGAACTTTCCTGGGGTGGGTAGTCATTCATGCCAAAGCTCCCCAGCTCATGTCACACCTGAATTATGGATTTAATTAAGTGTGTGAGCAAGGCAAGAGTTTCTCTCTCAGGCAGGCCAGGTGATTTGGTGACAATTCCTCCCAAAGAGGGAATTCCAGGACAGAACTGCTCAGGGCCACTTTTGGAGCTTCATGGCTGCACTTTTCTTTGCTCTTCCAGGCTGCAGTGAAGGAGGTGGCCAATCTGAGCCTGGTGAGCTCTACCTGTGAGGTGGTTTCTGCAGCTTGTGCCTCCAGCAAGGAGAGCCAGCCCTGCCTGAGCTCTGTGTGTGATGCTGCAGAGAAGGGAGTGCAGAGTGTGACCCAGGCCATGGCCAGCTGTGTGCAGCGCGTGCTGGCCACCCTGGAGCCCCACGGTAAATCCCTGGGGAAGGGCAGGGCCTGCCTGGGAGGGGCTCTCTGGGCTCCTTCCACACCTGGGAGGAGTCATGGAGTGGGGAAATGCACCTCTCCATTGCCATAGTGCAAGGACAGCCCATGGCTTATAAATCAGCCTGAAGCTGGGCCCTAATCCCAGCAGTGTGAGGGAGAGTCAGGGATTGACTCTGATGCTGACTGTCCTAAAACTGATTTTTGCAAAGTGGAACTTGAGGTGAAACTGCAGAAAACCATGTTTTGACACTTTTTTGGTTCTCTCTTCAGTGGCTGCAGGGAGTGAATATACTGCCAAGGGTTTGGATAAACTGGGGGAGAAGCTGCCACTCCCTCCAAAGCCAGTGGAACAGGTAAGAGTTAAAGGCTGTGCTGTCCCTGGCAGGCAGAGGGACTTGGTTCTTATGGGATTTCTAAGCTAGGAGCCTTCTCCCCTGGGGAGGAGGAGGAGGAGACTCAGAATAAATCCTCCCAGGAGGAGGCAGGGGCAGCAGGAGCTGGGCACATGGAATCCTCCAGCACCCCCATGTTAGGGATAAAGCAATAATGGCATGAAACCCTCAGTAAGTGGAAGGAAGATTTAGGGTCACACACCTGAGTAAACTCTGAACTGACACTGTGCTATGTGTCCTCTTGGTGCAGTTCAGAATTTCAGTGTGACACACAACCCACTCCATCACCTGCCATTCCCCCTGTTCCCCATATTCTGTTTGACACAAAGGAGCTGCTGTCATCCAGCGTGGCTGAGGCGAAGGAGGCTGTGAGCAGCAGAGTGCTGGAGGTGCTGGATGTCACCAGGGACACCCTGCAGGGCAGCAACGGGACAGCCACACCTGCAGTGACCAGTCTGGAGCCTGCAGTGCCACAGATGGGTGTTCTTGGAGCAGAGGCTGCACTGGGGACAGCAGAAGGTGACTCTCTCCCCATTGGAAATGAGGAGCTAGGTAAGGAAAGGGTGGATGGGGCTATGGAAGGGGGAGATGTTGGAATGGGGGTGGTCAGCCCCACTCCTCACCCCACTGTGCTATGGGGATAATGGGGAGAGGAGAATCCCAGTGTTAATGTTCAGGAACACATAATCACAGTGATTCTATGCAGATGCTTTTACTGAAGAGCTCTGAGTGTCAGGGGTACAGACCCAAATCTGACTCCCAGATGGGTTTGAGATGAACATATTTTTATACCCTTATCATTATATAACTACATATTAACTATTAAACTTATATTGTTCAATTGTATACATTGATTTCATCCAAGCATGGATTTTTGTAATTTCCATCAAACCCCCAAATATCATTTCTCATGATTCTTGTTACGATTAAACAATAATTATATCTAATTACCAAACAATCATTGCATTTAACAATCATATAATTTATCATATAGCAATCATATTGTTTATCACAGTCATTAAATGATTATACAGGTGCAGTTCTGCATGATCCAGTAAAGCCCAGCATTTTCCCTAAGCCTACCTTAACATTTTCCCAGGGCCTACAAGGCCCAACCTTTCTTTCTAACTGCCCTGAATATCCCATGCTTTTAGAAACATTTTATCCCTATACTGTCACCAGAGTGGTTTGGGTTGGAAGGCACCTCAAAGCTCATTTTGGGCTTCTCACTTGGCAATGTTTTTCACTTGGGGTCACCAAATTGGTGGTGTTCACAGGGGTCCCAGGATGAGGGAAGAGATGAGAATCTTGACTCCATGTTTAGAAGGCTGATTTATTATTTTATGATATATATTATATTAAAAGAAAATGATATACTAAAACTATATAGAAGAATAGAAGGGATTTCATCAGAAGGCTTGAAAGGAATGAAATGATAATAAAATCTTGTGACTGACCAGAGAGTCTGAGACAGCTGTGTCAGAGACATGTTTTATGAAAAATCCTTTCCTTAGGATTTTTTCTCCTGAGAAGCTGAGAGGCCTCAGGAACAAAATGTAAACAATGGTTATCTGCTGCTGTGGAATGCAACAGGTGCATCTGTGATTGGCCTCATGTGGTTGTTTCTAATTAATGGCCAATCACAGTCAGCTGGCTCAGACTCTCTGAGGCACAAGCTTTTGTTATGGTTCTTGCTTTTCTATTTTTGGCTAGCCTTCTGATGAAATCCTTTCTTCAATTCTTTTAGTATAGTTTTAATATAATATATATAATAAATCAGCCTCCTGAAACATGGAGTCAGATTCTCATCTCTTCCCTCATCCTTGGACCTTTGCGAACACGGTCACACAGCTGGACTGTGATTGGCCATTAATTAAAAACAACCACATGAGACCAATCAAAGATGCACCTGTTGCATTCCACAGCAACAGATAATCATTGTTTACATTTCATTTCTGAGGCTTCTCAGGAGAAAAAATCCTAGCAAAATGATTTTTCAGAAAATGTCTGTGACATCTCACCATGGCAGGGACACTGTCCACTGTCCCAGGGTGCTCCAAGCCCTTTCCAGCCTGGCCTTGGGCACTGCCAGGGATCCAGGGGCAGTCACAGCTGCCAGTTTGGGGTGTGCTGAGCCTGTTGCTGTGCCCCTGTGTCCCTGGCACTGTCTGTGTCCCCAGCCCAGCTGGCAGCGTGTGAGGAGGGCACGGCAGCTCTGCCCCTGGAGCAGCAGCAGCACAGGCGGTACTTTGTGCACCTGGACTCTCTCCCTGAGGATCTGCCCCTCTTGGCACAGCTGCACTCCCCAGCCAGGATTCAGCAGCTCTGTCAGGACATGCAGGGGACCCTGATACAGCTCCAGTGCATCCTCAAGCTGGTAGGTAGAGCCCAGCCCCTGGGAGGAGGGCTCCAAAGCCCTGGTGTTGTCTCAGCTCATTGCTGTGCTGGGGAGCTTTGCAGTTCCCCAGCTGAGCTGTCTGTCCTGGCTCTCTGCTCTTCCTGTGCCACAGGTTGAGGCATTCCAACAATTTAAGCAAAAGCTTCAGGAGGAGCAGGCGAAACTCCACCAGATGTGGCTGGACTGGATTAGGAAGTATCTCAAAGAAAGTGGAGATGATAGCCCTGCAGAGCCTGAGGTACCTCCTGGGGAGGGAGGCCAAGGGCTCTGGGCACCCCCTGGATTTCTGAGTGACCCATTCCTGATGGTGTCCTGCCTTTCCCCCAGGAGATGGAGCATGGAGCACTGCTGATGGCCTGCAGGATCAGCCAGCAGCTGCAGCTCTACTGCTCTGAGCTGGTGGCTGCTGTGCAGGGCCTGCCCTGCAGCCTGCCGGACGAGCTGCAGCAGGCTCTGCATGCCATCAGGAAGCTGCCTGTTGCTTTATCAGGGGCAGACTCCTTCCAGGACTGCAGCAGTGTCCTGAGCCAGAGGGAGCTGGCTATGATCCAGGAGTACATGGAGGAGCTGCTGGATTGCCTGAAGAGCAACACTCCTCTGTCCTGGCTGGTGCGACCCTCCTCCCCCAGGGAGGAGGAGGAGGATCATCAGGATCAATCCTCCCAGGAGGAGGCAGGGGCATCAGGAGCTGGGCACCTGGAAACCTCCAGCAACCCCATGTAAAGCAATAATGGCTGTTGGCATGAAACCCTCAGTAAGTGGAAAGTGTAAAGAATTGTCTTCCTAAAAGCTGCTTGTACTGGGTGATAACTGCTTAAAATAAAACTGCTGCATACAAAAACCCTCTCTGGTCTCTGTTGGACAAAGACTGGGAGGATTGCTGTGCTCTTCCACCTCTTCCTTGATGCAATTCCACTCAGGAATGGAGAAAGAGCAGTGAGCTGTACAGGAAGGGTCACAGCTGGTGACCACTGATGCTATCCTGGAAAGCTGTAATTCCTTCTCTCTCCCAAGCCAGGAGGCAAATAACATGCCCTGCTGGCACTGCCCTGTGCTGGGGAGAGCTGTCAGAATCCTGGCATCCCTTGCCTTTGCTCCTCCAAGGCCAAGTTCTCCTGCATTTCCCCGCTGCTGCCTGGAGCAGGTTGGTTTGGGGTGGTGGGAGAGCTGTGGCCTCACTGATGAGGGGCACCACGCAGTGGGTGACAGACACCTGCTGCCAGCACAGGGTTTCTGGGGAGCTCAGACTCAGCCAGTGCCATGTCCAGCTCCTTTTGGAAAAGCCCAATGCCTTCAGACTGGCCAGGAGATGCTGTGGGTTGGGCTGATGGACCAGATGCTTGTGGGACTTTGAGAGGAAAACTCTGCTCCTGGCTTCTCATCCTTCTATCTTTGAGACCAGAAGTGGAATCTGCACTTGTGAGTACTGCTTCTTCCAGAGTTATTTTTTTATATGAAGGATCAGAGATAGGGACTGGAGATGGGGTTTTCTTTGTGGGTGGTGAATGCAGGCTTGAAGAGTGTGGTGTTTGTGAGGGTCTCCAGGACAAGGTGAGAGATGAGGATCTGACTCCAAGTTCTCAGAAGGCTGATATATTTTATCATATTTTTATTAATTTTATTAATTATTTTTGTTATATTTTTATTATTATATTTATTATAGCATATTTATTCTGTTTTACTATGCTATACTAAAACTATGCTAAAAAGAGAAAGGATACATCAGAAGGCTTAACAAAAATGAATGATAACTTGTGACTGATCCCTCAGTCTGACACAGCTGGACTGTGATTGGTCATTAATTAGAAACAATTCACATGTTTGGATAAACAATCTCCAGACCATATTCCAGAGCAGCAAAACATGGAGAAGCTGAGGCTTCTCATCTTCCCAGGAGAAATCCTGGTGAAGGGATTTTTCAGAAAATAAATGTGACAGAAGAGGTGGAGGTTGCTCCTCTCTCACATAGAAGTGATCACTTTTCCAGCAGCACTCCTCATCCTCAGCCCTGTGTGTAAAGGCTTTGTGCTGCTGTGGGCTCTGGGTTTGGGCAGCAATTATTCCTTCATGCAGCACAACCCCCTCATGGAGGACAGGTTTGGATCCTGATTCCCTGAGCTCAGCAGATACCAGACAAGGGTCTTCCTCCTGTAGCAACCAGTTTATACTGAAGGCAAAATAATCAGGCAGTTTAAGTTGCCAGGCCAAGGAGATGCTGAGATGTGAGAGAGGAATTGGAGGGTCATCCCTGCACTGTGAGCTGCACAGGGAATTCTCTCTGGAAAAAAACTCAGCAGTTCTGTCTCCTGTAACTCCTGGTGGACTTGGGGAGTGGGAATTGAGGATATTGGAGCCAGTCCTGCTGCTTGGTGGGGAATAATCTGGGTGCTGTCTTCTTCAAAATGTTAGGGAATTTAATCCACAAACACCAGAGGTTTATGTCCAAAAAGGAGACATAGGAGTCCTTTTACTTTATTCCAGTAAAGGGAGAGGCCATGGGTCTGGGATCTCTCTAATTTCTGGAGGACTCAGCCTCCTTTTTATCCCAATTTTCAGCCACATTTCCCTTCTTTCTTTCCCCATTGGCTGAGGTACTTGAGAGGTTCAGACTTCATGGAATTCCTCATACCAAAGATTTCCTTCTCATGTATAACCCTCCTTTTAATTTTTAATTCCTATGGTATTTAGGGGTTTTCCCCCATTTTTTCTTTCATCTTTCAGTGTTTAATTTCATTTATCAGCAAACCTAAAGTTTATATGTAAAGGCAAATATGTTTTTCCATTCATCAATCAGTGGAATCCTTCCCATTTATCTCCCAGTGCTGGTTTTATCTACCAGGAGACCCAGAGCTTGTTTTAAAGACAAATCTGTCATTTCTCTCAATGGCAAAGTTGTCCCTTACCACCTAGGAATGCCTGAAATTTAAATTTGCCTGATTATAAAAGGGAATTTTAAGGACTAGCTGGGCATTCCCACACTTGATATTGATCTGTCAGTGCAGCACGTCTGAGTTATGCTAACATAGTGCTTAGCCCAGCAAATCCTGCTGCTCCTGCCTATGGATCAGTGGGATGTGCTCTTGCCTGGGCATTAAATCTATTTACTGAGAACATTTCTGGCTGCTCACAGCTCATGAGACCCTCTGGGAACTCTGTGTGTGGCCAGCACCTCCCTGTGCTGGAGCTGGTGATGAACAGCCTAGCACCTGTAAAGCTAAAAAAGCCTCCAAAAGGGCTACAGAGACTGTAGCAGAAGAGCTGCCACAGGCTGGAAGGCCATTCCTGTGGCAGCTCCTAAAGCTCTGCTTGAAAAGCAGAATTAAAGTTCATGCCAGAAGATTGAAATCACTTGGACGTTTTCACCTGCTTTAAATCAAACAAGGAGGGAAGCAAGGAGGGACTGAATTTCATACCTCACTTTCTGACACAAAGATTTTTTCCTTGTAGGTACACACTAATTGTCAAAAATAAAAATGTTAATGTAGGAGCACCAACAACTGACTGATTGATAAATAAATGTTTTATAACCTGGAAATACAGTAGTGGGCCACCTCCAGCTGGGCTTGCCCCAGGACTAGACTCCATAAAAATCTGCCTAATCTTAGACAGGCTGTCAGACCACAATAATGAGATTTACTGTGTAACAGAGATGAAATTAACAGGTCTCTAAAAAGATACCTGATTTGATATGACTTTTCTACTTTCAGACTTCAAAAATCACTGCATATTTTCTGTCTTACAAGTGTCCAGTAGTGCTAAAGCCACAGCTTCTTTCCTTCTGAAAAGCACTTCAATTTCTTGAAATGATCCAAGAAAAGACAAATATCAGTGCATTACAGCTTTGGAATTTACTATGTTTTTTGCCACTGGCCTGAGAACACTCTTCAGTAGTTTTTTTAGTAAGTGTGTTTGTCAGCAAAAGAGATGATGCCCTTCTAATTCCTGTGACATCTGTCCTATCAATCCTGAGCACCACACTGCCAGTTCCTAGAGCCATGATCACACAGGTAGCCGAGCATGTTACTGCTCAGGCAAGCAGAGCTTGAAGAGTAGAAGCCTCTCCCCATTTTACTGTTTAAAATCCAAAGATTCAGGGAGCCATGGAGACTTCTTATACCAAGCTAGAAGAAAGAACTCTGAGCAGCTGCACATGGGACAAGTTTGACTTTTAAATTTGATCTGCTCTCATCCATACTGCAGAAAGAGCAGGGGATGAAGGTGGGAAGAAACTGGGCATGATGAATGGACTGGCTTCCTGCAGTGTTTAAGGCTGAAGCTCCTCTGAGCTCTGGGAAAGGATCCAGGTTGTTCTTCATTGTCTCCAAGCTCGGGTGATTCTCCATGCTTATTTTGAGGAGTTTTGGACAGAAATGAGAAATGTGCTGGTGATGTGACAACCCCAAGCAAACACCTTAGCAGGGAAGCTGTGCCTTGAGGCAGCTCCTCTGCTCCAAGCAGCCTTGGGGAATGCTGCAGTGTTCCTTAATCCTGCTAATTATTGTCCTGCTGATTGTCTCACCCTCCCCTGTGCCAGCTCACTTCTGGGCTGATTTAAACTTTAAATGCACTCACAGGGGCTTCTTGTTCCACTTTTGGTGGGTGCCACCACATCCCTCTGCCAGTTTTTGTAACATTTTAATTATTTCATTCACACATTCATGTCCTGATGCTGCTCTTCCTTCCCTCCCTGCTGTTCTCAAAAGCCTGAGCTGTGGGTCAGGCACTGAATGTGCTGCTGTTGGGTGGGGGCCCCCTTGGGCTGACACCTCTTATGGGTGAAATTAGGAGGGATTAACCAATTTATTTCCATGTTTTCCTATCTGGCAGAGGGAATGCATTAAGGAGAGTTTCCCAAGCACTTTAAGGCAATAGATTGGGAAAGGGAAGCTCTCAGGAAGTGCTGGAAGGCAAAAGATCTGTAGCTGCTTCAAGAAGCTTAATTTCCTCTTCTCCCTTCCATGTTTTCTGTCACTCCTGGATATGGCCATCCCTTCTCCAGAGCTGTGTTATTATTTGCTGCAAATACACTGGGTATAAAACAGTTTTGAGGCCTCCCTGCAGGGCTGCTCAGGGAGCTGAGGCCCTGCCCAGCCAGGAGCTGTTGGGTTCCATTTTCTGGGTCACCTTGAGGTCTTGTGATTGGAAAAAATTGTTGCAGTAAGGTAGAAAAATCATAAAGATATCATAAAATCAAGCCTGCTCTCCTTGAATCAGTGACTGGCCTTGTCAAGGTAGCCCTTTGCAAGTTCCCATGTGAAAGCAATCCTGGTGTGAGCTGTTCATTAACATAACAATCTACTCCTGGGTGAAAAACAACCAGCACCTGTATAAACTAGTTTTCATTTTTCTATCTAATGGTGTAAAAACATCTCTCACAAACAACTTTCCCTGCATGTAAACGCTGGAGTTTGAGCGACCGATTAATACAGAATAACAACTTGTTACCAACTAATAACTGGCAAGAAAGCTCCTGACCAATAGGAGTCACACATAAGGTCTGTAAAACTGCATAAAAATGAGTTATGTACATAAAGAAGGGGCTTTTTCCACCAAGAAGAAAAATGGGGTCGTGTGTGATTTATTCCCATAAAATTCAAGATGTTCAGAGCTCATAGAATTAATTTGGAATGGGATGGGTTGAAGTTGCTGTGGCTGGTCAGTGTGGGAGCAAAATCAGATTGTGGGCCCTGCTCTGGTGGCTGATGTGGGCAGGCAGGGCTCTG